GTTGCTTTGTTTGTCTTCTCTCTGGAGATCACTCTGCAGCAGCATAAAAACAGGTTATCCTTGGGTTCAGTTTATCATTAAATATTTCCTCACATCATCTCATCATATGATTTGTTTCACTAGCAGAAGCTTCTGTTTGAAAGTTTGTGGAAGCTGCAGAGGACAGTGGGGAATTCAGTAAATAAACATTTAGTAGATAAAAATTCCAGATGGGTGACTGTGTTGGTCTATAGAAGGAAAATAAAACAGGAGTCCAGTGGTACCTTAAAGACTAACACAGTTTATTCATGCGTAATTGTTTGTCAACGCACCTATGCATGAGCACTCCTATGCATTTGATGATGTGATCTTTGACTCGCAAAAGCTTATGTTGGAATAAATGTTGTCATTGTTTAAGGTTCCATTGGACTTATTTGTATTATGTCAGATAAGTTGGTTAAGAAGCAAAAGAAGGACATCCTGATGAACCTTTGTTTCATGCCTTTTGGGTTCTTAGCAGTAAAATAATCCTGTAGGTTTAAGAAAAGTATGTTTACTTTTTGAGATTTTATTTATATGCTGAAGATAGTTTTTGTTCCTGAATATGTGAGATTGATTCCTTTAAATTTCTACAGCGTGGCATTATCAACCTGTACCCTCAACATTCTGTTGAGAAAATGGTCTGTGGCAGTGGTAATTTTATTCCAAAAAGATTAATTTGGAACCAGGTTGATTTTTCATTTAAATAGGTTTGTGGTTGCAAATCTCAATGTGATTCATGTTTCTTTTCTGCACTTGATGTATAAACCTGACAAAGCATTACTGCTTCTGTGTGGGAAAGATTTCTTTTTTAACCTAGCAGATACCTAATGGAACCATTGTGTGGTAGAAAGCTTCAAGACTTGTAATTTGACAGTTTTGTACTGTTAATACAGTACACAGCCTTGTATCATTTTCTGAATTTATGTTCCTTCAGTAAAGCTGGTAGCTCAGGCAAAGAAAGGGCAAGCAGTTGTTTATTAGGAGCACAATGGAGAGAGGAAGATATGGCTTTGGAGAACTTATGGAGGATTGGCCAGGATAGAAGGCGGTAAGGATAGAAGGTCTTCTAGTTCCCATACCGACTTTGGAGATTGTGGTAGCTGCCTACTGAGTCTGCATTTAGTGCTTCATAGTGCTGGTATATCAGTGTCTGCAGGTATGTACTAAACTCTTTTCTGCAGCATATAGTGCTTTTCACCAACATTTGGCTGGTGTTCTATAACTGTGGCACTTCCTTGAAATGTGTGATTTAGTGCAGGTTAAATCACTGGAGTGTGGCATATTTGGGGCTTCCTTTAATGATGGATCTTCGACGTGGTCTCTGTGCTTCACACCAATGGGATCTAGTGCGCACGTGCTGGATCGGTTAGTGCTGTAGTGCTGGATCGGTTAGTGCTCTTTTAGGGGATTTTCGTGCCCAGTCCCTTGGGCATGCGCGGGAACCCCACCGTGCATGCCCAGAGAGGTGGGCACGGACATCCCACCAGTTCCTTTCTTACCGCCGCGTTGGAAAGACCTCTTTCTTCGTTGGTCTGATTGGTTCGCTGTTCGCTTTTGCCTCACAGCTCTTAGGAATTATTTCCATTCTTTATTTTATCCTTTTTAGTGATTTCTTCTTCAAAAAAAAACTTTTAAAAAACTTTTATTTTCTCCTGAGGGGAATTTACCTCAGGCCTTCAGGCCACCCCCGCCCCCCAACCATTTTTCTCCACTTCTCTTCTTATGGAGAAGAAGTAGGGATTTTTCAATAGATGCAGACGTTGTGGTAGTAAACCTGCTCCTCCCGACTGTCATACCCTCTGCTCCTAAATCACCAAATGGGTGCAGAGTTTCCCCCCGCTCCTTCGACTTAGTCGGCATCGACAGTATCCGAAGCTCCCGACATCGATCCACGTCAGCACCGATACACTGCATGTGATACACAGCGTCACTCTCCACGTCTGCATACTCAATCCATCGGTATCGACAGCCGACATTACAGGGACATGTCTCACAGACAAGCTACTGCCTTGCCTCCCAGACATCTGAGGTCAAGAAGCCGCTCCCCCAGAGTCTTCCTACCTCCCCCACCACCGATGTCGTGGGATCAACGACAGTTGAGGTACCTCTATGGGGCTTACCCACCGTCCATGCCGTGGTTGACTCCAGCGAGCTATTCTGATTGAGATCGCTACTCAACCCACTCCGTTCATAGGTCGAGATCCCCACACAAGTTGAGACCTTCAGCATCTCTGTCGCGTCCTCTTATAGTCGATCCGTCCCACCATACTCTGGAACCAAGTCGTCCTCTCAATCCTCCGGTCACTCCAAACCCTGTCGTTCCTTGTCGTCCAACGGAAACCAGTACCTTCTCAACAGGACATTTCGGTCCACATGCCACAACAAGACTCCTCTGATTTCATGGAAGAGGACTCAGATACGGAGGCTTCTGAGGCTCATACCTCTCC